TTTAGAGAAATATTCAAAATAATAAGAACGGAATTAAGTACATGTCCGAGCATTGGTCCGTACATTTATAGTAACTAAATATTGGAGAATGGAAAGAACAGTAATGGATTTGCGAAAAATTGGAGCTGTGCTGTTCGTAATGGTATGGAGTCAGCTTCTGACTATTCAAAGGCGTATAGCTGAGATGAGAAATTATATTGGTCGGAGGTGGTGGATACGTCCCGTGAATAGGCGCAGATATGATCAAGATTTTAACCTGAACCTACTTCGTGAGCTTACTGTTAATGATCATGAAGAATTTTTCGGATATACTCGAATGTGGCCAGAGCAATTTGAATTCTTACTTAATTTGGTGAGTCCATACTTAATAAAACGTAGTATCCGAAAACCTCTTTCACCTAGACTTCGTTTGACCTTAACATTGACGTAAGTATAAATAAACTCTTTCTAAAAATTAAACATATACTTTCTATATGATATTAATTAATATTTTTTTTATGTAGATATCTTGCTCAAGGAGAAAGCATGCGGACAAAACATCTGGAATTCAGAATTGGTAAATCTACAGTCTGCAAAATAGTGCCAAAAGTTTGTTGTGCTATATGGCATGCTCTGCAACCTATTGTGCTTCCCACACAAAATGCTGAGGACTGGAAAAAAAAAGTGAAGAATATATGCTAAAGTGGCAATTTCCTAACTGTATTGGCGCTCTTGATGGTAGACATATGGAAATTGAGAAGCCTCCATGTTCTGGATCACAATATTACAACTATAAGAAATTCTTTAGTATTGTGTTGTTGGCGCTCTATGATTCAAATTACAAATTTACATGGGTGGATATTGGACAGTTTGGTGAGTAATAATCATCTTTTCTTTTAATAACTGATAGGAAACAAATTAATAGTAAATGTTGTAATGGAGTACATTTGATGTAATTTACAGGTTCTATCAGTGACGGTGGTGTGTGGAGAAACTCAGAATTGGCTGCAGATCTTGCTTCTGGTGACGCCGACCTTCCACCACCAAAACCTCTGCCAGGAAGAGATGTTCCCTTCCCGTATGTCATTGTGGCTGATGAAGCCTTTCCTCTTAGCATATATATTATGCGCCCTTATGCAAAACGAAATGGATTAACAAATGAGCAACATATTTTCAACTACCGGCTCAGTAGGGCTCGCCTCTGCATAGAAAACACATTTGGCATATTAGTGTCACGCTGGCATATTTTGCACAAACGTTTGCGTTTTTCTGTAACAAATGCAGAAAAGATTTTTAAAGCTCTTGTTTGCCTGCACAACTTCATTATGAGCTCTAATAATCATAATTATCAATCTGCCTTTCAATATTGCCCTCCTGATTGGCTCGATGTTGAGAACGAGGATGGGATTATTCATGATGGCCGTTGGAGAATTATTGGCCCTGGTCAATTTTTCCAAACGTTGGGTAGGACTGGAGCTAATCGAGGTGGCTCAGTGTCGGAAGGTATGCGCAATTATCTGAAAGAGTACTTTGTGTCTCCAGTTGGAGAAGTACAAACACCCTTGCAGTATGTGAGAGCTTTCAGAGGTCAAATAATTAACCCTCTGGCGTAGTTATCACAACCCGAGAAAAATGAACATAAGATCATAAATGATTATACAATTATATCCGAAACTTGATACGATTCTATATGCGTATATATTTAATCAAATGTTTTATATAATTACATATGATCTTATGTCTTATATGATATTATATAAATGTAAGTCTCATTTTCTCTCGGAAAGTTTTCATTCCTCTGTGATGATAATACTGTATTTTTTATATTTTTGATAAATGTAATTATTTTGTTTTATATTCCATATGTAAGAAAAGCATACTACGTGTAATATAATGTTAATAATTTTTTACTTAGTTCTTCATTTGAATGTTGCGCTATTTGGCTGTGAAAATAGCATAATAAATATTTTCAAAACTGATAATTTTGTTCATAGATTTGTCAGTAAAGAAAGATTTAATAAAATAAACGATTATAAAAATATTTATCTTTTTATTTTCCTCTAAATCACAAAAGAACAACAGTTTTGCTTTGGTATATAGTGTAAGATATAACAAAAAATACTTATGTGCTTTTAAGAAAAATAAGTTAATGTCAGACGAAACATTTACATTTAACGTAATGTATTTTCTTATTTTAAAATAAGTAATATGTTTATAGTATTTTATTTTAATACATAGTTTGTTCAAAGTTCAACAAACAACTATTTTCACGTTATTCCTTATAGTAATAATAAAAAATATCTTATACATATATATATAAACAAAAAATATTTCTTTCCATTTTTGAATAAAATTATCATATTAATTATAATTATTCGTAATACAATCACAGCATATATATATTTAAAACTTATTAGTAAAAATCACAGGTTATCTCAATCACTTATTTGCTTAATGCTTAATTCGACACACTTTTGTTCTTACTGAAATCATTTATATATTGTAATATACCTATGAGACATTCAAGTTGAACATTCTTAGGTACTACTCCTAGTGCAAATCCTATGGCACTCAGCATGGGCTTAATATCAGAAAATGCATCACTGACTATTGCTGGCGGAACATTTGGTGGTGGAACCGTTATTGCTTTACCAATCTTTGCTGCAAGGTCTGTCAATCCTTTACTCTGTTCGATTAAAGTCTTATTGATAGTATCTACTTCTTGCCGTTTTTTGTTCACAAATGAATCAGGTGTGGGCACTTTGCGCTTAGTATTAATGCTGGATATAGCTTTCTGCGCCTGTACAACTGTATTATTACTTCCAAAGTCTGATCTAACTGAAGGTGATGTTGAAGGAGATGATGTAGGAAGTGGCAAAAAGGAGTTTTCAGATGTATCTGTGAAACTCTTGTCAGTACCTAAAAATGCAACAGACGAATACTTCAGATTATGTTACAACAAACTGTGGACATGCAATAAGTCTTTTAATCTCCTTACCTATAAGATTTGTTAATGAATCTGAATTCCAACTGGACATGTCTGAACTTGCTGCAGCAGACTGAGAAGAGAAAGGATAAATCGTGTGCACTGTCATATGACCATCAGAAGGAGCAGATGTAAATGGTAATGAGGTAGTTGTACGACATACTGACGCTTCACTATTTACAACAACTTGTAGTTGGATGAGGTTCTGCAAGTATATTATAATCATTAATTATGTCAATGATACTTGTTATGCAAAACTTCCCAGACCACAACACTTACTTTCTAGGTTTGATAATATCCTCCAAGAATATGAGGTCCTTGTATAATGGCCACATTGATTTGTATGTAAACTGGTCTGCTCCAGCTCCAGATCTTGGCATGGACTGCACCATTTTTCTCCGCTCTTTCCCAAAGCGCTGTCTCAGAACATAAAATCTCTTCTCGGCAGCAGGACCTGACAAATATATTAAATTTCATTGCAGTAAAATGCAAATTATCAGGTGTTATATTATCTTTTTATAGTATACCAAAGTTACAACGTAACCTACATCTTGCCTAACATATCCTTTATTGATATGACACCTCATTCATTGTCTATATTATGGTTGCTTTCCAACAAGAGACACAAGTCGACACAAGTATCATCCTATTTTTGTTCTCACTAAATGTGAAACAAAAATAGAATAATGTTTGTGTCGACTTGTGTCTCTTATTGGAAAGCAACCTATAACAACAACAAATCGCTATAAAACCATATTAATATTTCCAAGTAACAAAAATAAACTTACCTTCTATTGGATTAGTTAGGCTCGCGCCAATCTGCTTCCATGCTTCGGTTTTTACGTCTCCATTGGCATACAACTTTTCAGTCTTGTCGTATAAAAATCGATTTGCTTGAACCACAGCAATTAGCTCTCGATCAATGCTAATATCTTCTTTAAAAAAGAGCTCTGTGTCCGACATATTTGTAGGTTAGAACATATAATTGCACTAACTTAATGTCTCTCTCTCTCTCTCTCTCTCTCTCTCTCTCTCTCTCTCTCTCTCTCTCTCTCTTTTTTCTTGATTGCAGACTTGTCATAGTGGCTCTTTCCCCATCTGACTGCACTAGCTAGCTAGCTTATATCGCGCGCGCTTTCGTGACGTAATGATGAGTTTTCATCGGCTAAGAGTAAAGAAGTAGAGAGTAAAGAAGTAGGAAATGGAATTCAACCATTTCGCTTACAGCCTTACTCTACATCCTAATACACCAGAAATACCAGCTTACTTCAACGTTTACAGCCTTAATCCAGTACTCCTACTGCCATTGTAGAAGACGCTTAACAGATTGATCTCGCTCGCGTTAACGCGATGCCGAAATCCGAGTTAAACGGTGGAGTTCGCTTAAGGCGACCTCCCAGCTGAGTGATGCCAGACGCGTCTTCGCGGACTGGGAATCCTGCAGAAGCAGTACCTAGAACGAGTGTCGGTGTCACACCGACACCGCCGGTGTCGGTGAATCCGTGAGCTGACGGCGGAGCGATTCCTGTCGCGTATCCGCGAACGAGAATCCGCCAGGAGCGGTGTCGAGAAGACGATTCGAGGATCGGGAGATCGGGATCTGATCCAACTTTGATCTGCTCCAGATCTCTCTCTACCTCTATACCTAGATCTGAAATTCGCGGCGGCTTATATACGCGAATCTCGCTTGATTCGCTGTGTCCCGCGGATGTTCGGCGGCTTGTTTATTTACACGTTTTTCTACACGTTGTTTTTCCTTGCGGTCGTTACAGTTTGCGCTGGGGGTCTAGCGCGGATCATTACGTATACATATCTCGGGAGCTCACAAATCGAGCAAACATTTTCTGGCGAGGAATATCCCTTTTATGGATTTTTGAAGACAGTTCATTTTTGCACCTGTGACATATGAGGTGCTGTTCCTGCCAAAGAGTAGCAGCTCAAAAGCAGAGTATACATATCTCGAGAGCTCATAAATCGGGCAAATATTTAGTGGCGAGAGATATCCTATTTAGATATAGATATTTACCCTACTGAAAAATTTCTATTGAGATCACAATTGAATTCCCAATTGAATTCTCAATTAAATTCTCAATTGAATTCTCAGTTGAGGTTTCCGCAAAATTTCGCATGTAAGATCTCAATTGAGATATTTGTATCTGATGGAAATAATTCATTGAAAATATAATGAACTTTTGCTGAAATATGTTTGAAAAGCATTCACAATTTTGACCCAATTTCATTAAAATTTCATTATAATTTCATTAATATTTCGATAATATTTTATTAAGAGAGTAGAAAAATTCAGTGAAAAATTATTATTAATTAAAATATTTAGAAAAGTAT